TTTCAATTTTCTTGAATTTGTTGAGGCTCCTTTTGTGTCCTATCATGTGGTCTATCTTTGAGAATGTTCCATGTACATTTGAAAAGAATGTGTATTTAGCTTCTTTGGGATGAAGGGCTCTATATATATCAGTTAAGTCCATTTCATCTAGGGTGTTGTTTAATGCCACAATATCTTTGTTGATAATTTGTTTGGAAGATCTGTCCATTTTTGATAGTGGGGTGTTCAAATCCCCTACTATGATTGTGTTGCTGTCAATATCTTTCTTGAAGTCCTCTAAGATTTTCTTGATATATTTGGGTGCCCCCTATGTTTGGTGCATATATGTTTACAATGTTAATGTCTTCTTGGTGGATTGTTCCCTTGAGTATAATGAAATGACCTTCTGGGTCTCTCTTTACAGCCTTTTTTTTGAAGTCTATTTTGTCTGATATGAGAATTGCTACCCCAGCTTTTTTTTCTTGTCCGTTTGCTTGGAAAATTTGTTTCCAGCCTTTCACTTTTAGTCTGTGATGGTCTTTTGTCCTGAGGTGAGTCTCTTGTAGGCAGCATATGTGTGGGTCATGCTTTCTTATCCATTGAGCTATTCTGTGTCTTTTGATTGGAGAATTTAATCCATTTACGTTTAAGGTTATTATTGATAGGTACTTATTCATTGCCATTTTTGTACCTGTGTTCCTCTCTGTCTCCCTCTTATCCTTCCTTCCCTTAAAGCAGTCCTTTTAGTATTTCTTGTAGAGCTGGTTTGGTGGAGGCATATTCTTTTAGACTTCTTTTGTCTTGGAAGCACTTTATTTGGCCTTCTATCTTGATTGAGAGCCTTGCTGGGTAAAGTAGCCTTGGTTGTAGGCCTCTGGTTCTCATTACTTGAAATATTTCTTGCCATTCTCTTCTTGCTTGAAGTGTTTCCATTGAGAAGTCGGTAGCTAACCTTATTGGGGCTCCCTTGTATGTTATTTCTTTTTTCTCCCTTGCTGCCTTTAAGATTCTCTCTTTGTCTTGGAATTTTGCCATTTTGATGATGATGTGTCTTGAGGTGGGCCTCCTTGGGTTCCTCTTGATTGGGACTCTCTGTGATTCCTGGATTTGTGAGACTTTTTCTCTTATCAAATTAGGAAAATTTTCTCTCATTACTCGTTCAAATACGTTTTCTATCCCTTGTTCTTCTTCTTCTCCTTCTGGTATTCCTATTATTCGTATATTATTACGTTTCATATTGTCTTGCATTTCTCTTAATCCCTCTTCATTCTTTCTGAGCCTCTTTTCATTTTCTTGCTCTTTCTGTGAGATGCTTTCTACCCTGTCCTCCAACTCACTAATCCTATCCTCCGCTTCATCTATCCTACTTTGGAAACTTTCTACTGTGTACTTCAATTCGGAAATTGTATTCTTCATTTCCTCTTGTCTCTTGCTGATGGTTTCCATTTCCTTTTTGATGTTGCTGTAGTTTGCAGAGAGATCATTATAATTTCCCTGTAGTTTCTGGTAGCTCACTGTGAGCTCTTTGAGCTCTTTGAACTTCGTAATAACCAGTGCTTTGAATTCACTGTCTGATAGTTGATCAGCGTCTATTTCATCTAACATTCTTCCTGAAGTTTCTGCTTTTTCTTTCATTTGGGGATTGTTTCTTTGTCTTCCCATTGTTTGAGACTCTTCTTGTTAGTCTCTGCTTCCAAAATTGATCTGTTCTGAAACACTGGTTTTATGGTGTAAACTTCTGTGGTATGTTCCTTGTGAAGTTCAGTGGTACAGACTCCTTGAAGTTTCTCGATGTTCTTCGTCTCCACCTACACTCACGCTGGTCCTCGCACTGGTCTCTGCGTTGGTCGCCTACCACTGCTGAATGTCCCGGCTCTAGTAGCTGCCTCCTCAAGCACCCAGGCCCGTTACTAGGGCAGTGGCACAGAGGCTGGGAATGTCCTGGCTCCCGTATCTGGCTCTCTCTGCCACCCAGGGCCGTCAAAGGGGCTTGGAGTGTCCCGGTTTCCGTACCTGACTCCCAGGCATCTAGTCCTGTCTCTATGGCAGTGGCACAGAGGCTTAGAAAGTCCCAACTCCCGTACCTGATTCCCCAGTGTCCAATCCCCTTGCTATGGCAGCAGCACAGGGGTTGTGACCCTCCCGGTTCCCGTAGAGGGATCCTCTGCCACCCCGGGCTGTCTCAGGGGTTTGGAGTGTCCAGGCTTCCGTACCTGACTCCCCGACGTCCAGTCCCGTCGCTATGGCAGCGGCACAGGATTTGAGAGCTTCCCGGCTCCCGTAGCTGGCTCCTCAGCTGCGTCACAGGGGTTTGGAGAGTCCTGGCTTCCGTACCTGACTCCCCGGCGTCCAGTCCTGTCACTATGGCAGCGGCCCAGGATTTGAGATCTTCCCGGCTCCCGTAGCTGTCTCCTCAGCTGCCGCACAGGGGTTTGGAGAGTCCCGGCTTCCGTACCTGACTCCCCGGCGTCCAGTCCCGTCGCTATGGCAGCGGCCCAGGATTTGAGATCTTCCCGGCTCCCGTAGCTGTCTCCTCAGCTGCGTCACAGGGGTTTGGAGAGTCCCGGCTTCCGTACCTGACTCCCCGGCGTCCAGTCCCGTCGCTATGGCAGCGGCACAGGATTTGAGAGCTTTCCGGCTCCCGTAGCTGGCTCCTCAGGGTCCAGGCCTGTCTCTATGGCGGCGTCACAGGGGCCTTTGGTGTCCCAGCTCCTGCAACTGACCCTTCCGTTGCCCAGGCTAGTAGCTATGGCATCGGCACAAGGGTGTCCCCGCTCTGGTTCCTGACTCCTCTGTCTCCCAGGACCGTCACAGGGGCTTGGAGTGTCCGGCTTCCGTACCTGAGGCCCCGGCTCCCAGGCCTGTTGCTCTGGCGGCAGTACAGGGGCCGCGTGAGACCCAGCTCCGGTAGCTGACTCTGCCGCCGTCTGGTGTTTCAGCGTCGGTCACAATCTCTGGTCTTTTAATTTCATAAATGCTGGGTAACCGATGGTTTATTGTGCTGTTTCTCCATAGATCTGCCAGGATTTTCACCCATGAGTACAGGAGCTGGTATCCGCTCCATCTTACTCCGTCGCCACCTTCCCAGCATCCCCAAGAAATTTTTTATTGATGTTTGGGAGAGGAAGGGAGAGAGAGAATCATTTATTTGTTGTTCCACTTATTTATACACTCACTGGTTGATTCTTGTATGTTCCCTAACTGGGTATCAAACCCACAATCCCTTGGCCTATCAGGACAATGCTCTAACCACCTGAGATACCAGGCCAAGGCCATACATACATTTTATTTTGAATTCAGATAACCAGTTGTTCCATCATGGTCTTCATGTTTACCTAAAGACTAATGAGATTAATAAAGTTGAGTGTCTTTTGTGTGCTTATTTGCTACCAAGGTATCTTCTTGGTGAAGTGACTCTTCAACTCTTTTCTCCATTTTCCAATTAAGACTTTTGAATTCTCGTTGTTCAGTCCTGAGAGTTTATTTTCTTGATATAAATACTTAAACATACGCTTCACAAATATTTCTCCTCATCCATGGTTTGTTCTTTCTTTTAGCAATGTCTTTTGAAGATTATAAGTTTGTAAAACTTGATTGTCCAATTTATCAACTTTACATTTATAAATTGTGCTTTTGGTGTCACGTCTAAAAAAATCTTTGTCTAACTCAGAGTCGCAAGTTTTTCTTGTTTTCTTCTGTAAGTTGTAACTTTAGGTTTTACATTTAGGTCTGTGATCAATTTTGAATTATTTTTTGCATATAGATATCCAGTTCTTCTGAGCACCATGTATTGGAAAATATCTATTCTTTCTTCACTGAATTACCTTTGCATTTTGTCAAAAATCAGTTGCCTTTATGAAAGTGGGTCCATTTCTGGGCTCTTATTCTGTTGCATTTATCAATTTGTCTATCTTATACTAATACACTACCTATTTTGATTACTGTAGGTTTATATGTCTTAAAATTAGGTAGAGTCAGCCATCCACATTTGATCTTTTTGTCTCAGCTAGTTGTTTCAGATATTCTGTATTTTTGCATTTCTTTATGACTTTTACAATCAGTTTGATTTTTTTTACCTATAGATCAATTTTGGGAGAAGTTACATCTTAACGATATGAATCCATTAGTCAAACATGTCTCTCCCATTTGTCATCTTTAATTCCTCTCAGCAATATTTTCAGTTTTCAGTGTAAAGATCTTCCATGCCTTTTGCCAGATTTATTCTTATTTCATATTTAATGCTATTGCAATGCTATATAATTTTTGTTATTTGCATTTGTTTGTTACTGGAATGTAGAAATATAGATGATTGTTGTATATTTATCATGTATCCTGCAATATTGCTAAACTTGTTAGCTCTTTTCTTGTTGTTTTTTAATTATTTTATTGTTGTTCAATTACAGTTGCCTGCAACCCCCACCCCAGCCTAGCCCACTTCCCTCCCTTGCTTCCATACCGCTTCCTGGTTTTGTCCATGTGTCCTTTGTAGTTGTTCCTGAAAACCCTTCCCCCCATTATCCCGTCCCACCTCCCCTCTGGTTACTGTCAAGATTTTTGTAATTTCTATGTCTCTAGCTCTTTTTGCTTGCTTTTTTCTTTTGTTGATTAGGTTCCAGTTAAAGGTGAGATCACATGGTATTTGTCCCTCACCATTTGGCTTATTTCACTTAACATAACACTCTCCAGTTCTCTCCATGCTGTTGCAAAGAGTAGGAGCTCCTACTTTCTCACTGCTGTATAGTATTCCATTGTGTAAATGTACCATAGTTTTTTGATTAATTCATTTACTGATGGACACTTAGGATGCTTCTACAACTGGGCTATTGTACATTGTGCTGCTATGAACATTGGGGTGTACAGGTTCTTTTGGATTGGTGTTTCAGGGTTCTTAGGATATAATCCCAGCAGTGAAATTGCTGTGCCGCGGTCCAGCCGCAGCAGAGTCCAAGGATTCCTGAAAGGTGGGTAAAGTGTTGGCAATGGGTAACAGATGACAACACACCTCAAAGGACAGTGAAGCTCTGTTCTGTTTATTACAAGTAAAAGCAGGTTTTTATATTTTCATTTTAGGCAGTGATTAACATTTGCAGTATAGCATGATCAGTTAAGCAGAAAAAAATCAATACAAAGGTAACCAGGAAAAATATGAAAGTTCCCATAGATTCAGTTATAATAAACAAAGATTATTTTGACCACAAGAGCCATAAATCAGACAATTGGAAATAGCTGTATGTACAGAATTTGAATGTCTTATTGTATATTAAAGTTTCTCAGAATTTCTCATGGGGTAAAAGGATATGCTAGATTGAGTAGAGGTAATAGGAAATTTATTATAAGGCCTTTGTGATGTCTAACTTAGCTATCTATCCTCTTCTGTCTAAAATGTTTCTCTGTGTACTATAAACTCCGACTCTTTAGTAACTGTTTCTACGTATTTAATTTGTAATAACTAGCCAGCTTTTGTTATTTCTTTGCCTGTCCAATTGATATATATTCTTATTCAAGGTAAAGGAGGGGCTATTACTCCAACAATTTTTAGACATACAGGGAATTTGTTCTCTGGTCAAGAAATTATTTTGTAAGACTTCATTGGAATTATGCTAATCAATGAACCTGAAATACAAGTGTCTAACAATCCCAGCACCTTTTAATCACCAAAACAAACATGTAAGGAGAGATAGGAAATCCAGCCACAATTGCCTCTGCCTTGCAGATGCATCTCAACTGTCCCGACCGTATCCCTGGGCTGTGGGTAGGGGCTATATAGTTTATACTTGTCTTCTTGGAAGACCCTTTGTATCTGTGGGTAGGGAACATTCATGGGAAAGTCTTTCTAATCTGTTCTTCCATTCTCTCAACTGTTGGCAGCACAACCTGTGCTTGCAACAATACCCTGGTTCTTTGTTAACTGGCTTTAACTGATGAGTTAAGAGATCTAACTTGTTTTTCTTATTTCTGGTACACCATGGCAGTACTGATTGATTTAGGTTGCTCAAACCAGGGTAATTTATACACCTTAACATGTTTTTCCCTTATGGTTAACAATTATATTACCCTGGCTGTCGTACTTCCCTGTATAAGGGGGAGGGGAATCTGTGGAGATCTTTCCATCCTTTCAGGCAGTTATGTGGGGAATACTAATGTTTTCCTCTGAACTGCTCCCTCCTCTTGGGTGATTTTCACAGGAATAAATAAGTACAGTATAGTGTTTATATTCAGTAGCAAGAATAAAATAATTAAAATAAAACAGCCAATTGTTAACCCATTTTGGATGCCACATTCTCCTCTGGGGAGACAAATTCCTTGAACTCGAATCCTCCATGCCTGGACCTTGTCAGACAACATGGTTGAAAGAGGATGTGGCACTGCTGGATCAAAATGCAGTTCCATTTTTAGGTTTCTGAGGAAATTCCATACTGCTTTCCAGAATGGCTACACGAGTCGTCATTCCTACCAACAGTGCACTAGGGTTCCCTTTTCTCCACATCCTCTCCAACACTTGTTTGTTGATTTGTTTATGATGACCATTGTGACCAGTGTGAAGTGGTATCTCACTGTGGTTTTAATTTGCATCTCTCTGGTGGCTAGTGATGCTAAGCATTTTTATTGTCTCTGGGCCTGTATATCCTCCTTGGAGAAGTACCTGTTCAAGTCTTTTGATCATGTTTTCATTTGGGTTGTTTGTCTTCCTGGAGTGGACTCACGTAAGTTCTTTGTATGTTTTGGCAATCAAACCCTTGTCTGAGGTATCATTGGCAAACATGTTTTCCCATATTGTTGGTTTTCTTCTCATTTTCATGCTGATTTCTTTAGTTATGCATAAGCTTTTTATTTTGATGAAATCCTGTTTGTTTATTCTTTCCTTTATGTCCCTTGCTTTAGAGGGAATAATAGTGAAGATACTGTTGTGTGGAATATCTGAGATTTTCCTGCCGATGTTTTCCTCTAGGACTTTTAAGGTGTCATGATTTATATTTAGGCCTTTTATCAACCTTGAATTTATTTTTATGTGTGGTGTAAGTTGGTAATTAAGTTTCATTTTTTTGCACATAGCTGTCCAGATCTCCCCAACACCATTTGTTGAAGAGACTATTTTTTATACCATTTTATGCTTCTTCCCCCTTTGTCAAATATTAATTGACCAAAAGAGACTTGGGTTTATTTCTGGGCTCTCTGTTCTGTTCCATTGGTCTATGTGCCTATTTTTATGCCAGTACCAGGCTGTTTTGATTACAATGGCCTTGTAATACAGGTTGATATCAGGTATTGTGATTCCTCCTACATTGTTCTTTCTCAAAATTGCTGCAGCTATTCAGGGTTGTTTATGGTTCCATATAAATTTCTGAAATGTTTTTTCTATACCTGTGAAATATGCCATTGGTACTTTAATAGGGATTGCACTGAATCTATAAATTGCTTTGGGTAGTATGGACAGTCTGATGATGTTAATTTTTAAAATCCATGAACATGGTATATGCTTCCATTTGTTTGTGTCTTCCTTAATTTCTTTCTTCAGTGTTATGTAACTCTCTGAGTACGTGTCTTTTACACCCTTGTTTGGTTTATTTCTAGGTACTTTGCTTTCCTTGTTGCTATATTGAACGGGGTTCTTTTTACTGATTTTTGTGTCTTATATTTCCTTGTTAATGTACAAAATGCCTTTGGATTCTGAGTATTGACTTTGTATCCCCTGTTTTGCCACATTCATTTAGGACTTCTAATACTATGTTCAATAGGAATGGTGAAAGTGGGCATCCTTGTCTTGCTATTGATCTTAATGGGAAAGCTCTAAGTGTTTGCCCATTGAGTATGATGTTGGCTGTAGGTCTCTCATATATGGCTTTTATTATGTTGAGGAATACTCCCTCTATTCCCACTCTGCTGTTTTTATCATTAATGGGTGCTGTGCCTTATCAAATGTTTTTCCCCATCTAATAATATGATCATGTGATTCTTGTCTTTCATTTGATCTATGTGATGTATTACGCTTATTGATTTGCCAACATGGTACCATCCTTGCATCCCTGGGATGAATCCCACTTGATCATTGTGTATGATCTTTTTAATGTATTGCTGGATACACTTTGCCAATATTTTGTTGAGGATTTTCACATCTATGTTTAGCAGAAATATTGGCCTGAAGTTTACTTTCTTTGTTATGTATTTATCTGGTATTGGGATTAGGATGATGCTGGCTTCATAAAGAGTTTGAAAGTCTTATATTTTCTTGAATTTTTGAAATAGTCTGAGGATAGGGGTTATCTCTTCCTTAAATGCTTTTCAGAATTCTCCTGTGAAACCATGTGGTCCAGGGCTTTTTTTGTTGAGAGTTTTTTGATTACTGCTTCAATTTCATCATCTGTCATTTGTCTGTTCAGGCTTTCTACTTCTTCATTCAGTTTTGAAAGATTTTATTGTTCTAGAAATTTGTCGTTTCACTTAGGTTTTCAAATCTTTTGGTATATAGTTGTTCATAGTAATTTCTTACAATCCTTTGTATTTCTGTGGTACCAGCTGAAATCTCTCCTCTTTCATTTCTGATTGTGTGTATTTGGGTCCTCTTTTTTTTTTTTTCTTGATAAGTCTCCTTAAAGGCTTATCTTTTTCCTTGATGAGTCTCCTTAAAGGCTCAAAAAAGATAAACAGTTTTGATTATCTTTTCAAAGAACCATCTCCTGGATTTATTTATTGATCCTTAGAAGTGTGCTTCTAATCTCTCTGTCATTTAATTCTGCTCTGATCTTGGTTATTCCCTCCTTTCTACTTGCTCTGGGCTGTCTTTGTTGTTGTTCTAGTCTTGAAGGTGAAGGGTTAGGTTGTTTATTTGCAGTGTTTCTATCTTTTTTAGGTAGGCCTGTATTGTTATGAATTTGCCCCTCTAGGCTGTCTTTGATGTATCCCAAAAGATTTTGGTTGTTGCAAGTTCACTTTCATTTGTTTCCAGAAACTTTTTGATTTCTTCCTTAATCTCATTCTTGAGCCATTCATTGTTTGATAGTATGCTATTCAATCTCCATGAATTTGAATGTTTGGGTTTCTTTTCCTTCAGGTTGGTTTCTAGTTTCAGTTTTTTGTGGTAGGAGAAAATGCTTAATATGTTTTTAATTTTTTTGAATTTGTTTAGGTTTTTTGTGTCCTATCATGTGGTCTACCTTTGAAAATGTTCCATGCACATTTGTAAAAAATGTGCATTTTGCTTCTTTGGGATGACAGCCTTTATATATATATCAGTTAAGTCCATTTGATCTAGGTTATTGTTCGATGGCACAATATCTTTGTTGATATTTTGTTGGGAAGATCTATCCATTTTTGACAGTGGTGTGTTAAAATCCCCAAGTATAATTGTGTTGCTCTCAGTATCTTTCTTGAAGTCCTCCAAGATTTTCCTTATGTATTTGGGTGCTCCTATGTTGGGTGCATATATATGTAGAATGTTTATGTCTTGTTGGTGGATTCTTCCCTTGAGTATTATGAAGTGACTTTCTGGGTCTCCTTTTATGACACTTTTTTTGGAAGTGTATTTTGTAGGATATGAGTATTGCAACCCCAAGTTTTTTTTTCCTGTCCATTTGCTTGGAATATTTGTTTCCAGCCCTTCAGTTTCAATTTGTGTGGGTCTTTTTTCGGAGATGTGTCTCTTGTAGGCAGCATATGTGTGGGTCATGATTTGTTCTCCATAAAGCTACTTTATGTCTTTGATTGGAGCATTTACTCCATTTACTTTTAAGTTTATTTTTGATAGGTACTTATTCATTGCCATATTTTAGTACCTGTGTTGCTGTCTCTCTCACTGTTTTTCTTTCTGTTCTTTAAGCAGTTGCTTAGGCTTTGCTTGCAGAGCTGGTTTGGAGGAGACGTACCTTTTGAGTGTTCTTTTTTTCTGGGAAGCTCCTTATTTGGCCTTTCATTTTACTTGAGAGACTTGCTGGATAGAGTAGTCTCAGTTGCAGCTCTTTCTTTTTCATTACTTGGAATATACCTTGCCAATTTCTTCTGGCTTGGAGTGTTTCCATTGAGAAGTCAGCTGCTAGTCTTAACAGGGCTCCCTTGTACATTACTTCCTGTTTCTCCTTGCTGACTTTAAAATTCTCTCTTTGTCTTGGAATTTTACCATTTTAATTATGTTGTGCCTTGATGTGAGCCTCTTTCGGTTCCCTTGGATTTGAGTCTCTGTGTTTCCTGGATTTGTGTGACCTTTTCTTTGATCATATTAGGGAAGTATTCCATCTTTACTTTTTCAAACAGGTTTTCTATCCCTCGCTCTTCTTCTTCTCCTTCTGGTATCCCTATTATATGGATATTATTACATTTCATGTTGTTGCACATTTCCTTTACCACCTCTTCATTCTTTCTAAGGATGTTTTCTTTTCCTTCATGTTTCTCATTGGGTTTTTTTCTGTCTTGTCCTCTAGCTCACTGATTCAATCCTCTGTTTCATCTAGCCTGCTTTTGATTCCTTGTACTGTGTTCTTCAGTTCAGGAATTTTATTCTTCAACCCTTGTTGATAGTTTCTATTTCCTTTTTCACATTCATATAGTTTGCAATGAGTTCATTGTAGTTTCCCTCTAGTTTTTGGTAATTCTCTGTGAGTTCATTGAGGTTCCTTATAACTACTGCTTTGAACTCTGTATCTGATATCTGACTTGCCTCTATTTCATTTCGCATTCTTTCTGAGGCTTCCTGCTTTCCATTCATATGGGGATTAGTTTTGTCTTCCCATTGTTTATAAGACTATTCTTGTTAGCCTCCACTTCTTAAACTGATCTGTCCTGACTCCCTGTGTTTATGATGTGAACTTCTGGGGTAGAAAACCTGTGAGATTCAGTAGTGCAGTCTCCTTAATCTCCTGAGCTTGCTGGTCTTGGGATGCTGTTTATGTTCGCTCTCTGTGTGTCTTTAGGTTTTGATTGTTTTAGGTTCTTCCTTGGCGGATCCTTACCTCCATCTGGTTGACTGAGAATCACTCCATCCACCACATCTTGTATTCTTTTGTGCAGGTGTGGACAGGTTGTGTTGATGCTGTTTCCTCTGTCTGTTTGAAGTTTTGAGGTTTCTCTCTTACTATTGTCCAGTTGTTTTTTCTGGGTAATTTCTCCACCATTTAGTTGTATTTGCACATCAGTCAGGGGTGGAGGTGAGGGTAGCCTCCACTCACTTCTTCACCTTCTTCCTTATTATCTGATGGTGGGTTTTTTTGTTGGTGGGCTTCCTCTTCCAGCAGTTATATTGGTGTTCCAAGCTCCCACCTTGCTTTTTTATGTGATCAGTTAAAAGGGGAAGGAAAATGGATTAGGACAGCAGCAGTATATTCTATGGGATTTCAAGTACCAACCCACAGAGAAGAGATCAGATATCCTTTGTATATGCATAGTGTTAACATGATATTTCACTCACCTAGTCAAAGGTCAAAAAGAGATGAAATTCTTGCTAGTGGGGGGAAGGATTGTGAGTTGTATCTAGAAAGCAGTGAGCTTGTGGGAGGTCAGATTATGAGATATAGTGAGAGTAAAGAATAGAAAATAGGGGTCCATCATCAGAGACTTCCGCCAAGATGGAGGCATAGGTGGAGACGTCGTGCTTTCTCACACAACCAAGTTTAGAGACAACTAAATATTGGCAACAGAAAACACAGCCAGAACATGGAAAATTGAACTTTTGGGAAGTCTGTTAACAACAAATTCTTCAGCCTGATCGCATCATAACCCAGCGACTCTGAGTGGCCCGGCCCTGGTGAACCACCTAAGGCTCTGCTCCTCACCCAGCGGCTAGAAACAGCAGAGGGGGCCTCCATTTCCCTGCTCTGACCACGCCCCCACATACAGCGTCACAACCCAGCAACCTGGGAGTCCAAGGCGCCACTCCTCATACTAAACAGGCACAAACAAACCAAAAATGGCTCAAGAAGATCTCAAAGCCCCAGAGCCTATAAATCTAAGCAATGAAGAAATAGCAAAACTCTCAGATGCACAGTTTAAAACACTGGTGATCAGGAGCCTCACAGATCCGGTTGATTATAGCCACAAATTAGAGAAACATATGAAGGCGAAACTAATTGAAATGAATGGAATTGCACAGGAAACCAACAGTGATGAAAAGGAAACTGGGACTCAAATCAATGGAGTGGACCAGAAGAAAGCAAATAATGGCCAAACAGAAAAGAGTCAAGAAGCAAGAATTCAAAAAAATCAGGAGAGGCTTAGGAACCTCCAGGACATCTTTAAATGCTCCAAAATCTGAATTATAGGGGTACCAGAAGGGGGAAAGGCACAGCCACCAGTGGAAAACTTATTTGAACAAATAATAAAGGAGAACTTCCCCAATCTGGCAAAGGAAATAGACTTCCAGGAAATCCAGGAAGCTCAGAGAGTACCAAAGAAGTTGGGCCCAAGAAGAAACACACCAAGGCACATCATAATTACATTAGCCAAGATTAAAATGAAGGAGAGAATCCTAGAAGCAGCAAGAGATAAGGGGACAGTCACCTACAAAGGAGTTCCCATCAGACTGTCAGCTGAGTTCTCAAAAGAGACCTTACAGGCAAGAAGGGGCTGGAAAGAGGTATTCCAAGTCATGAAATCCAAAGACCTGCAACCAAGATTGCTCTATCCAGCAAAACTTTCATTTAGAATGGAAGGACAGATAAAGTGCTTCTCAGATAAGATCAAATTCAAGGAATTCATCATCACCAAGCCCTTATTATATGAAATGTTAAAGGGACTTACCTAAGAAAAAGAAGTTATAAAAAGATGAACAGTGAAAGGACAGCAAACTCACAGTTATTAACAACCACACCTAAAACAAAAGCAAACTAAAAGGACAGCTAGATCAGGAGTGGAAACAGAGAAATGAACATCTCAAGGAGGGTTAGCAACAGGGGAGTGGGAGGAGAAGGGGGGAGAAGGTACAGAAAATAAGTAGCATAGACAGTAGATAGAAAATAGATGGGGGGGGCAAGAATAGTATGGGAAATACAGAACCTAAAGGACTTGAGACACATGGTCATAAACTACAGGGGGGGGTAATGGTGGGGACGGGTGGGTAGGGTGGAGGGGAATAAAGGACGAGAATAGAACAACTGTAATGGCATAATCAATTAAAAAAAGAATAGAAAATAGGTGTAATGTGCGAGAGAACAGAGTTAACCACAAAAGTAATAAAGTTCTGGAAACGGTGAAGTGAGCTAAGGTCCAGGATTGGTGCTGTGTAGTAGTCACAGTTGTATGGAACAGCAATTATTTACAATAGTAATGAAACAACAATCATACAACAGAATATATGTGATCTGAATAACAAGAATAGGAATTGCATGACCTAGAGTAGTGTGCTATTGGAACACAAGTGAAGTGAAAGATGGAAAATTAAAAATACACGATGAAAGAGGGAACAAGGGAAATCAGTCAAACAATGCAATTTAACATAGAAAGTGAAGAAGACTAAACAGAAAGAAGAGAAATAAAAACTACTAATAAAATTAAAAAATGTAAAAAAATGAAAAATAATAAAAACATATAATAAATTGAAAGTGCTCTGGAATAGCAAAATTAAATTTGTCCCACCATCTCAGTTGTTGAGATGAACCCTCTTTGGGTCTAACTCTGGTCCTTTCACTGCTCTGGGTTTTATAGTCTTACTTGTGGGAATTACAAAAAAAAAAAAAAAAAAAAGGAAGAAAGGGGGGAAAAAGCTTCGTGCTGGCTTTAAACCAGTCACACCAGCTCTGCTGGTCTTCCTGGCTGCAGCAGGGTGAGGGGGGATTCGTTTTGCTTTTGTCCCTTCCTGTGGTTTTGCGAGAATGGGGGCCAGGTCTGAACAGCACTCTTCACAGTTGCCCAGCCTCCAGTTCAGTTCCTCAGTTCACTGCCTGGCTCCCCAGTTCCCTTCTGAGCCTGGCCTACAACCTTCAGTCCACCCATTGTGCTGTCCTTGAGGTGCACCTGTTAGGGGCAACTGACGTACCACCTTCTCGCTGTTTGCTGTCCTAGATGCTAGGGACTCAGTCTCTTCAGGATAGTTTGGTATCCGACTATGTTAAGTCTTTCTGGGGAGCGCTAACTCTCTGAGCCCTGCTGCTCTCCTCTACTGCAGCCACGGCGGTGGGGTTGGGTGCACGGTACCTCTGGGCAGCCCCTGGGTTAGGCACGCCGTCCCAGGGACTGTGGTAGTGAGTATGCAGCCCCATCTGTTGCTGCTGTGCAGCTGCAGGATGGAGGTGTTCACAAGTCAGCCTCTGCTGCTGTGGTGGCAGCCACAGGAAAGGGGTGGTGGCTGGGTTGGTGGCACACCACTGAGGTCACGAGCACAGTTGGGCGCCCTCTACTGTTGCAGCTGAGGGTAGGGTAGGGGTGCAGCTGCAGTGCTGGCAGCAAATGTGGGCCCATGGCAGAGGCTGAGGAGGCTTCATGGGCACAGCCAGTGTTGGTAGGGTGGCTGCTGCAGAAGAATTCTCTAAACAGCTGCTGAGTGCCTCTTTTTTTTTCTTTTTGAAATATTTCTCCTTTTAAAGCCTGCCATGTCAAACAAGCACCTGGACTCTCACACAGCCCAACTCTCCAACCAGACTGGAGACTATCTGGGTCAGGGTCCATCACAGACCAACTCTTCCTGGCCTGCATCCACAGTCTCTGTAAGTGCACACCACTCCTGTGTGTTTGCCACTTTATCCTTATTCCCCCCAGCAAGTTCAAGCATCCAGGTCCATCCTGGTGCTGCTCAAATCTCCCTGTTTGGCAGGGCAGGGAGCCATTGACTGGCTCTCTTCCAAGAATCCTGCAGCACACCCAGCAGGCACTGGGCCTGGGTCTGCAGCCACCCTGGTGCCCACACTGGTCCCAGGAACCTTACTGTCTCAACACAATCTCCTTACTGTTTGATTTTTCAATGTACTCTACAGTTTTGGCCTCAAACCTTCATATATGCTGGGATATCATTGGTTGTTCACTCTGCTCCTCAGAAGATTGGCTAGGTGTTCCACCCATGCACAGGGGGAAGTTGACTCTGCTCCCACCTATCTCCCTGCCATCGTCAAAATTTCTGTTGTTGTTTTTGTCAAAGTATGTCTTACTGGCTATGCTATTACAGTTGTCCCATATTTTTCTCCTCTATTCCCTTCTGTCCAGCACATTTCCACCCACTAGCATTCTTCTCTTTAAGTTAATGTCCATGGGTCATAAATATAAATTCTTTGGCTTCTCCATCTCCTACACTATTCTTAACCTCCCACTGTCTATTTTGTATGTACCATTTTTGACCCTCCATGTGATCTCCATTTCTGTGATCCTGTTCTTGTTCCAGTTGTTTCCTTAGTTTACTCTTGTTTTTGTTTTAGGTTGAGTTGTTGATAGTTGTTAGTTTATTATTATTTTAGTGTTCACAGTTTTAATCTTTTTCTTAGATAAATCTCTTTAAAATTTTATATAATAAGGTGATAATGAACTCCTTTAACTTGACCTTATCTGGGAAACACTTTATCTGCCCTTCCATTCTAGCTGTGCTGGATAGAGTAATCTTGGATGTTGATCCTTGCCTTTCATGACTTCAAATACTTCTTTCCAGCCCTTTCTTCCCTGCAAGATTTGAGAAATCAGTTGACAGTCTTATGGGAACTCCTTTACAGGAAACTCTTTTTCTTTTCCTGATTTTAAGATACTCTCCTTATCTTTAATCTTGGGTAATGTTATTATTTTGTGCCTTGGTGTGTGCTTCCTTGGGTACAACTTTTTGGGGACTCTCTGAGGTTCCTGGACTTTCTGGCAGTCTGTTTCCATGCCAGACCGGGGAAGTTCTCCTTCATTATTTTTTCAAATAAATTTTCAACTTGTTCTACATCTTCTCCTTCTGGCACCCTTATTCAGATATTGAAATGTTTAAAACCTATCTTCATTTTTTTTTGAATTCTTGCTTCTTCATTCTGCTCTTGTTAAATGTTCATTTTTTTTCCTACTGCTCAAAATCATTCACTTCAGTCCTAGTTTCCATCCTTTCACTGTTGGTTCCCTTAACTTTACATTTCTAGTATGAATGTAAAGGAATATTTTTCTTTTTCACTTTGCATAGCCTTCATTCTTTTCTCTATTGTGCAACTACACTCAACCATTTCTGTGACATTTTTGATTACTAGGGTTTTGAACTCTGAATCTGACAGGTTGGGTATGTCTAAATTGCTTCTTTCTGGAGTCTTGATCTGTTCTTTCATTTGGCCTATATTTCTTTGTCTCAGTGCTCCTATTACATTTTAGGGGGCAGAACC